TCGCTTTTGTTCTCGATAGGACTATGTTAAACACGGTATTCTATTCCATTACTAATTTTCCCAGAATGACTTCAATCGAATTCCACGTTCTGAAATGAAGGTGGCATTTTAGCCCCTTCGATCATTCCTTCCCATTTCCTCTTAACACCTGTTGCCTATACCGTAATCGACATTTACTTATGTTTATTTCCTACTGGTAGAAAATTAACTAGTATCCCATATGGAAACTTGCCGCCCGTGAATCTTGTGCAGTGGAAAGAGTTTGTAATGATGTATGTTGGTGTATGTTTGCGCGGTCATTCTGCTCACTGCGTCGGCATACGTTAGAGCCGTACCAATCAGAGGGGTTTCGTTTGGATCGCGGGGGGTATCGCACGTAGTCCGAAGAGAACTTTTTCCTATCGATGACCTTTTCCATTTTACAGTCTTGTTCGCTGCGGATGACGGGGCTGGTCCGACGAATGGGTTTGGCACGGCGCCATCCCATTTCTTTTCCGTTTTCTTCTCCCCTTCTTTTTTTTGTTTTGCAAGCAGGCTGTATCGTTTCGTTCCTATCAGTCGTTCTACGCCAATTGTTGTCGCTTACACACTTCAACAAGTGCTGGAGAAGAGCTCGCGACGCGGCTAGCTCCACTGACAAGCCACACCATCATTCGCAGCGAACAAACCAGTGTGAAACTCGTCTGGGATGATGATACACTGACTTGTATGTCTTCTAGCCCTTGGAAATCGGCGGCGCTCTATTAGCTATAGCCCCTGCGCTCGACGGCAAAGTCGTCATCCAGCCAGTTGATTAGGAGGCAAAGGGTCGCGTCGCGTCACGACCGCGGCGATCAGCTGTTTCCAGCCTATTTAGCCATTTTCTCCCTAATTTTCACTGTTTTTGGCTGCTTTTCTCGAGGTTAGTTGTTCCTTGTCTTCACAAGTAAATTATGATTGAGATTTCTCTAATTTTTGCGAACAAATCAAACAAACAATTCAAGTACTCTAAAAATCTGAAGCAAAATCACTTCACTACAAAAACAAAAAAAAAGAATCTACGTCCCAATACACTTCATAAAGGCAGTAAAGCAACTTGCCTTTAGAAAAAAATAGAAATATTGTGAAACCTAGGGAGAAAGTG